TTCACACTTTTGTCTTTCATGTTGTACCGGAGCTCCCCTTCCCTCCCTATCAACTTTCACAGGGCTCTCCGTTCCCCGCCTGACATGTTGGACCCAAATTTAGTATGTCTAGCCGCTGCGCAGAGTTCCTGAAGTTTTAGCTGCAGGTTTGTGAGCCTCTAGATCCGTTTTCTGCAGGCAACCCAATCACCGTACCCACTTCCTTTGAGTTGATTACCATGTGAGTCAAAGAAGCCGTCCCTGATTGCTGGCAGGCATTATCGATGTCAGATCTTTTCTCTAAGGAAAGTAGTGGGCTCGAAAGTCCTGAGGGATCTGCAATCCGCCCACATAAAAACTTCACTGCCTGATGATTTTCGTCACCTCCCCCCCATTGCACTCGCAGTGAGGGAATCCTGAGGATAAAAGGTAATTAAGTTGACTATAGCCCGACGTTATCCACTCACGATACCCTTGATTTTTTCCGAAGAACTGCGTAGGTGTATTTGACCTTATTGTTCATCGTAATACATTCATCGCCGTAGTCGATGCCTCAATTCGACGGCGCCTGTGCTTTGATAGCCTTGGCGTCTTTCTCAGCTCCGAAACAGGTAGCTGTCGCCGTGTCGCGCGCGATAAGCATCTCCTCTGATATTCACCGTGTGTATGTTGCTTGCCCTCCTCCGACGTCTTTGCCAGAAACATAAATGCATGTCATGCAACACCCTTAATTACACCAGCCGCCTTGTTCAAGCGAGGGATAAAAATCAGCGTCAACATGCACTATCGAAACATAGCAAAAGACCAGAAGACCTTGTTGGCGATCAAAATCGATAGCACGTTTTTCAAGGAATCCAAGCTAAAAATGGTTCCGTTTCGTCACTAAAGGTTGATTCTATACAGCCGGAACTCGGTGTTATCCTTGCGTCTACGACGAACAGGGAATTTGTTTGATATCATCAGGGTTACAGTGCCCTGATGATGATACTGAAGGTAGATTTTCCTAGTTTTCATGACCGTTTATTATCCCTTGATGGGTGTCCTCATCTTACTGCTTTACAGGAAGAACTGCGGACGAAATCGTTATTGTGAGAGGGGAGGCACAACTTCCGGCGGTAGACATTTTAGGAGGAACTAGAACTGAGGCAATGGAAAAAAGGCTTTTGCCCAAGTGTAAGCTCAAGACTCAACTGTAATTCTGGATTTCAGGGAGTGGACTCTGGACAACCTTATTTCCAGCGTGCATGAGGAGTAGGGCACGTCGCATGTTGAGGATCTCCAACGAGGGAGTCATATTTGGTCACTGTGAGAAGGGAGGAGGTCGCATTTGCCTTTGAGAAAAATGTTCTCGGTTTGTGGATTTTTCCCGTTTTCCCTGTCTCAAGTGCGCTACACTCCGGCCCCGCTCGACGGCAGCTTTTTGGTGTAGAAGTGCTAGGATTTCCCGGTATAACTCCGAAACAGTGATGGTAATAAAAATATGGTAGGTGGGACTGTGGACGGGAAATGGGATGAGAGTTGATACCAGAAGCTAAGGAAGGTGGAATTTTGCAGAATTTTTTCCCAGCGGCACGGCATACCCTAATGAGGAGTTTTTCAAACGCCCCCACAAAACTATTAACCCGACGATTCCTGGGCCACAGTCGGACGCAGGACCCATGATTCCACACGGGAGGGCGGGGAAATCAGAGCGTGCTACGCACCTCACCTTATTCCAGCCACAGCTTCATCTCTCTCTCTCTCCCTCTCTCTCTCTCTCTCTCTCTCTCTCTCTCTCTCTCATAACCACTGATACGTGAGCCCGTGTCTCAGCGTAGCGCAAATCTAGGCAAGGTGCCGAGATAATGAATAGATGTCTATCATAGTTGTATATGCGCCCGCTAATCAGCAATGGTCGCGATGAAATGACGCAAATCGAGACGGAACGTCGGACGAGTTGCGTCATTGAACGCGTCGTAGGATGAGGTCACTAACATAAGCAGCAAATCGCTGCCTCCAATCGCATCCTGGTTATCGCAACGGTACGAGAGCGATTAATGAGATTTACCCGATGAACCTCAGATTTACGACACCTCTACTATAAACATCAGCACAGATCTGAAGCGATGATGGCCATCATTCACCTTGCCAGAATGGGCCTATAGTGGCGCCAAGGTGAGAAGAACAAGAAATCGTTGAGACCAGGGCATGCCATCGTTGTGATGATCACAACGGGGGTCGTATTTGACCGCGAGGGAGGGAGGTCGTATTTGGTAATTGTTTGGGAGAGGGTCTGCCTAAGATCTATACAACTACTTATTTCCGACAGTTGAAAATGATAGTTAAATCCTGACGACCTCCTCCCTCCTCCCTGCTCGACGGGAAAATTCTTTGGATGAAAAACTGGAAATTTTCTGGGGAAAAAATGGAAAAAGTGGTAGGAAGTTGGGAAACTCTAGGAAAGTGGTAGGTCGCATGGGGAGAGTGGGTCCTATTTGAGCATGGAATTAAGGAAGGTCGTCTTTTTCAGGAAATGATTGATGGCGTGACCTGTTTGAGACTTCATAGCGTGGGATCGAGCCATATTCGACAACGAGATTTTTGAGTTCACTAGGCCCTCGTTCTTTGCCAGCTTTCCGTCTAGCCTGAAACCGCCATGTGCCACTTTCCCAACTGCGCTGGCCTCTGATAGCTTTATCCTCGGTAGTTATTCTTGAATGCCCAGCGTATTTCGTATTTCTACAACTCAATCAAGATGGAAAGGACGCGGTTCAACTTCATTTCAACTGCGGCGGCGGATAACGTTTTTCATGGAGCAATTTTCAGATTGAGATCACTGTCATCTAGTGTTGTTTTGAACAAGGTGGTTACAGTTGTCCTAAAATGGCAAAAGCCCATCAAAGCGCAGCCGCCAGCAGGGTACAGCATCGTGATGTGTGAAATGGTAGTGTAGGTACGACCCTCCTCTCCGCCCCCGTAGAAGGGTTGTCAGTACGAACCTCCCCGCCTAAAATAGTGTCGGTAGCGACCCCCCCCACCCTTCCCCAACGGTCTACCTATCACGTCCCCAACGTTTTCCAGTCCAGCTTCACACAAAAATTTTCCGTCCGAGTGGGGCAGGGATATAGTACACATAAAGCAGGCAAAATCAGAAAAAAACACCGGAAAAATTTTATACCCAACGCAGCAAATTTCTCTCAATCGCCCATACAACCAATCCTACCCGCGCCTCCAGGCGACAATACGACTCCCTCGCCGCAGCGGAAAAGACGACCCCCTATAGTGTTCACAGAACGATGGCTGTACCCTGGCCGCCACCATGTTCAAGTGAGGAACACAGCCACGCTTTCCTCATATGCGGGATAAGGAAGAAGTATGGAGGTGTTGTTAGTGCGCTGGGTTCACTGGACAAAACCTAGTAAAGGTCGCATAAACCTCCTATCAGAGCTCATGGGGGAGGGGGCATTCGGGACTTTATGCAAAGTGGCCACGCCCCACAGCACGCAGACGATGTCTTTTCTTGTTTGAAGCTCGATTTGATGATGTGTCGATGTGAAAACGGTCGCAATCTCCTTTAAATGACCGTAGTCCGGGTTTCGCATAAGTTCATTGGAAGAAAAAATGAAAAAAATTCGCACGAGGAGTTCCTTCCAGTTAGCGTATGGTTACGCATTGGACTGAGGCCACCCAGCCATAGAAGTTTAGCTTTTGATGAGATATAGGCCGGAAACTTTCCCCGGTCACCAACCTGTTTCAATGGATCAAACTTCCCACACGAGTGTTCGCGAGTTCTACCCAAGCTTCGTTAGAGTCTGTGTCTCTGTTTCGTGAGTGGAGTGCATGCGTAACACCAAAACAGCGGGGTTGGTCAATGTATCAGCCAATAATTACATGTTCTACAGCTACCAAATATAGATTTGCGGGTTCTGGAAATGTATGGCTTCACTCCAATCTCGCCACAAGGGTAGGAATCACTGGAGGCAAATTCGGAGTGCAATGTTCTACCAGGTTAGCGTAGGGTCCACAGACGGGATGTGGGTACGCCGGCCATGGGAAGGTGGGAAATTTTTGATGTCTGGGCTAAAACTCCATTGATCAGAAATTTGAGCTGCTTGGTGAGTTTCCTTTGCACTAAATTTCATGCATACCTCTCATTTCACTTGTCTCCGAAAAAAATGCCGCTATTACAGTCTTGTTTGGTGCGGATGCTGGGGCATACAGGGTCTACGGCGGCGAGGAGGTCTGTCCCGCGCGCAGACGAATGCTTCTACAACTGGTGTCGACTGCTCGCCGATTTGAAGGCAGTTGGTTCAAATAAACGCACAACGAGTAGGGATCCTGATACGAGTGTAGGGCAAATTTCCCGCGACCCTGAGTAGGCGCTGCATAGCGGTTCTTCCGAGGGAGGTACCCCTATAAGGGTCCTATCACGCTACAACTTTCCGACCTAAACGCCCGTCACCTGAACGCCCGTCACGCCCGCCCGCCGCCCACAATGGACGACCTTACCAGATGCTCGTTTTGCTTCATTTGCTGAGTAAAACATAAAGCGAAGGGATTAGTATGAAGCGGCTGCGGTGCTGAATGGATATATGAGTACATACAGGCAGCCGTACCTGCCGGAGCGGTTATTTGCAATACGCCTACGGGAAACTCGTCCGAAATTGCTTCTCAAGAAAGAAGGCTTTTCTTCGCAGTTTTTGACCGCTTCATTCGTTTTTACTACTAGATAGCGCCCTGCTAGCATTTTAGGCTGAGTACCAGATTATCGTGTCAACTACCTTTAACGATTGGCGGCGCGCCTAACTTGTCCCCCCCCCTAACACGCTCGAGAATCCGCAGCGAACAAGACTGTACATGGCGCAGTAGATCATTTGATAAAACGATCCCAGGTATGAAAGCAACCTAATGCGCGACACAGACGAGAAGCAGCAACATTTATATTTTTGACCAACATTTTTTGGAAAAAACAAACGAAATAACAAATAACAAATAACCTATACATTGGTTATGATAAATCGCAACAAAACATAAAACATGATTCATTTCAGATCACCACCGAATAATTCGTAGGCACCTCAAACAAACAACTTTTCAACATTCAGAATAACAACAACACCAACTCGTCACTTGCGCGTTGTCCTCATCTTCTTAACCTTTGAACCTTTGACCTTCTTGACAGGAGGCTTTGCACTTTTTAACCTCTTCACTTGTGGTTTCGAACCTCCAGCCGTTTTTAAGGGCTTTGTGCTTTCTTCCTAAAAAAGGTGCTGATCAAGAGCATTATTAATAAAAGTAGAGGACTTCTTCTCTATGTTACCGTCCAACACAAGAGGAGCATCGATCAGATTAAATACTACCGTGGCGAAAACTCAAATCAGATCAAAGTTTTTCTGTAATAGAGTTTGCTCAGGTTTTAATAACCTTTTACGGGCAAATATTTTTCCGCAGAAATATGTAACCTTCAAGAAACGTATTGATGTGTTTGTTTAATTCTTTGTCTCTAGCTTCATCAGAAATTGTAGTTCTCCTAATTCCTATTCACATGTTTATCAACATGTCCACAGAATAAATAAATAAATTATCGTGAGGAGCATTTTCACTGATGGGATCGAATCCACTTCGTTCTCTCTCGTGGTGAATATCATTTTGAGCTCATACTAGTTTTCTATGCGCTACGGTACACTCCATTTCCAAGGGTGGAGTGCAATTCACCACCGTAGCAACGCTGAGTTTGACGTGATACCACGCAACTTTGAAGAACTGCAACCCGATGTACTTGTTATAGTACAAGACGTAACTGCGACAGCGTGTTTGCAGTTGTCTTGTTCATATACTGACACCTGCACATTCGACCCTCATCCAACAGATCGCATAACCGAAAACGGGAGCGTTTTCCCATCCCCCACCCCCGCACGATCACAAGATTCTGGCGACAGAATGCTTGACTTATGAACAAGCTCGGTTCACTACAGTATGAATGAGCAGCCGGAACCACCCTCGCGGTTTACCCTCACCGATCACTTGAACTGAAGCGAGCCTGTTTTGCAGCATATGATTCTTGCAGATTACCAGAACGAAAGCGAAACTCACCACGGATCGGTTTCGGGTTTTTTCCGAACCCTCCTTTGACTATCCGCACCCACCCACCGTATCCTAAAATGACGCATTACTTAGTTTGTGAAAGCAACAACCGTGAACAACTTCTCAGTAACTAGTAGAGACTGTCAGACCAGCAAACAACGATATTCAGCGACGCCCCTGTTTTTCATAGGGCTTCTTCCAGCCCCCACAGTTCATGCAAGCAGCGTACAGCTTTAGAGCTTCTCAGTATGCGGATCACAAACTAGCGACCAACAACATAATGCCATCACGACCTATCAGTGACGAAGCGTTAACGTGCACCTCAGAGAACAGCGTCCTTGAATGTACGACGGCGAACTGCGATCTCGCGAGCTGCAAGTGGGCGTTGCCATTCTTCGACTGAAATGAAGCACGTTCCTTCACCGAGCGCGGCTGCAACGGTGATGGCTACCCCAGATGCCTAGTCTCCGTCGCCCGTGCTACCATCACTGTATATATAATATTTGCGTCAACACAAAGGTCATGCCGCGAAGCACGCATTTAGCGGTATAGACAACCAGAAGTGAGAAAGCGTAGACAAGTAGCGCGTTTGGTTATGGTTAGGCGTAACGTTTAGTTATGGCATGTGGCTGACCGTGCACCAGCGCGGGCGAAGTATGTTGGCGGCACTTGGTAGTCACTACCCTCCAGCCCCGTTCCCGCGCGTTTTTGACCGAGAAAAGTGGCACACTGTTGCAGCAGATCCATTCACACACATGTGGCGAGGACCGAGGTGAAAGTACAGCTTGTCTTCAAGGTTTCCTGGAATGACGCATAAAGAAGAGAGTTCTGTGTTGCTCCCACTGGAAAAGCGAAAAGCGCCTCGAGCTTTCGCAAACTTTGTCATGCTCATAGAAAGGCACCGTCAGCTCACTCTTGTCTGAACCCATTTTACCATCCAAAATTTCCATTCAAGCAAAACTGAGAAACCAGTAGAATGAGTTCTGCACTAACAATGATTGACTTACTGCTTTAGAACTTGATGATATCGTATCCAATTCATACTCAATACCAATACTTCTGAGCTTATTTAATTTGCGTTTTTGAGCACGAATCCGTCTGACCTGAAATATTAGACTTTCTCTGAAAGAAGACCTCATATAAACCATATAAGTAAAGACCAACATATAGAAGAAAATAAGCCATATAACATATAAAGACCTTTTATAAATTAAAGCTAAGCTTGTTGCCTTTACGGTAGAAGACGCTTCATTCCATACTCCCTGACACTGCGGCCACATATACACTGTATCCCAAAAGTGGAATGGGGCGTAACGCACTTCATTCAAGCAAGGCGTTGGATGCGCTTTCACTAGGATCTTTCCATTTGGGACAATTCTCATCCTGCATTGCGCTGGACAAAAATATGAACCCAACTGTCCCAAAACAACAATAACACACTAAAGGTGCGGTCAATAGCAGCGCTTAGAGTTACCGCAGCCTCGCCCCTTCCCATCTCTGGGATATGGGATGAATGATGAAAGTGAACCTCTGAGCGCTATCCCAATTAGGTAAAGCGTTTCGGTTCATAGAACTCGATACATTCTAGACCATGAGTTAATGCACAAAGAGGTTGGTTTATCTGGGATAGAGCTCCCTCCTACTAATCTGAGGTCATGATCCTCATCACCTAACTCATAATCGATTCCGCGCGCCTTTCCAGAATAGCGCCGTCTTGTACTCAGGTTAAAACAGAGTTCAGAAGAAAAACAACAAGAAATAAATTCGTATGCAGGGCTTATACTATAGCCTTATATTGTCGCAGTCCGATGAAGTGATGACGGGAGGCGTGGAATGAGCCCAC